AACCCAGAAATGGTAAAACCCAATTACCTACTTCAGTTACCAAATTAGGGTGGTAATTCTGTAAGAAACAATGTTGTGATATTGTAGGAACAATGTATCAAAACTCAGGGTAAATTGTTCATAGAGGGGAAAGTCATTATCTTAAAACAAGATCAATCTTACACACTCTTTCCCCTTCCACTATCACCACGCACCGGGCCATTTGTACCCAACCCGTCTGCACTGACAACTTTCAGACACTAACATATGTGCTCACATGTGGACAGGATCCCTCACAATGAAACAGACAGTAACTTACACAGAAGGTACGTATGAAATAATTGAAAACGCTACCCTGATAGTCTATGTTCATCTCCAAGGAGGAAAAAGGACAGCAAGCAAAGGTAGAAGAAAGAGATCTGCAGAAGGTGCAGAAAGAAGAAAGATTCCAGAGTAAAGGTCCAAAAATCCACTTTAAGGGCTCTTGTATTACCAAAATAACCACAGAAAATACACAAACATATGCCACTTTCCCTAATTTTTCACGTAAATTTCTTCTGTCCCAGACATACTTTGTCTCCCTGCACGTGTGCATTTTCCTTTGTTCTTCCCTCTTCCATCTGCTCTGTCTTTCCTCATCTCTGTCCATCCTCAATCCTGTTGTTTGGATTGATGTCACGCATAGTACCACAGTGGGACAAAAACATGAACCAAAAACTAATTCACAGCCTTCTCATACACAGACTTCACTTCATGAGGTCTCAATAAGACCTGGCCAACCAGAAAGGCAGTCTCTGGGTATACACAACTGCCAGAGTTGCCCACAAAAACAGAGCATTGATGCCACAAGTCAGCCCATGGAATAATACATGACATAGCATTTTGTGACAGATGTGAGACACACATCTGTGCTTCAGATGTCTGAAAACAAATGTGCTTGTACTGACTCTAGGTACACACAGATACAGCAAGGAGGCACAAAGTCACTGAAAGCCACATCTATGTGCACAGGAGTATAATTTTATTCAAAGTATTCAGATAATCACCCCCACAGACCTAAGTTTTCCGGTTCATATTGCTAACCAGTTTCACCCTTGCACTTAGATGTATGAAAAAGAACATGTAAATGACCTGGGCATTGACAATGCCTATGTGTAGATACACAGCTACATGAACACAGGGCAAAGTATCATCCTTGCCTTTCATACCTAGGAGAAGAACCCAAGAGAAGCTTCTCTACAGGTATTAGAAGGAGCAGACATTAACATCTGTACAAATAACCCTTATTCCTTTATTCAGAAGCCAAACAGAAAAGAAGCACTAGCATCCCAATTTCAGCTCCTGAGTTTCATGTTAAATTATGTTTTACCTCTCTTTTGCTTTCTTTCAGTACTCTTGGTCCTACTTTACAACATTTATATGCTTCCATGCAAATACCTCTAAAAATTCAAGTATTTTTCTTCAGATTTTAAATGAAAGGATCATATATATTAATAGTTGATTCTCTTATGTGATTGCAGTCTATTCCTAAAACTGAAGCTATTAGCAGCTGTAAACTTCCCTTCCCTATTGTCGCTTAACTTCAATGACAATTTCAGATTAAAACTAATTCACATGATGAAATAAATTGGAATATTAAAAATAGGACTATAGAGTGATAAAAGCAATGTAGATATTTAAGATATAACACGAAGTTTTTAATTAAAAACACAGAATCTTCAATTTGCTCCCGAATAAAACAGTAACCCTCACTTGATTGATTCTAGGAGTGTTGCTGATATATCTTGTTACAGTGGCGTGAATCACATATTAATTAACAATTCCAGTAATTAAAATGTTTTTATTCTTTAAAGATATTCAAGATGGAGCCAAATATCTATCCTACATGAGCTAAATTTATGGTATCCAGCACGGAAGGGTATTTAGTGCTGGAGGAGATTTAGTCTGCCTGGCTACAATATATACCTTGAGGTAAGGATTTTACTTGCTGTATGACGGCATGTACAGAGTTGATCTAACAGATAAATCTGCTGTTCATGAGGATATTTCCTATGTAATCCTTACAACTAAAGGTAAATGGAAACTTCTTCCATGTTTACAGCAATCCACAAGCATTTTACAGCTTCTGTCCAAACTCAGTGTTTCTGAGCACCAAAAAGCAATTATCTGCGTGCAGAGACGGACCTGTACAGCATTGCTTTCTTATCCTTGGAGAAATTAAGAGTTCCTTAGTGTACTTCAGCAATTCACACATTTATTTTCTTCACACGCATAGCACTCATGCCAGTAACACCAGCAACGCACATTCTGTCTCTACAGCTACTAAAACCGTACCTTAATCGGTATAATTCACATATAATGAGCACCTTCAGTTTGTCCCCCTTTGATGACCACAGGGGCTGTGCCTTCCGCTGCGGTGTTATCCCACCCTGTGCACTGACCAGCCCTGGCTCCTCCATAGAGACCTGATCTCCCTTCACAAGGCTTCTCCTTCCAAGACCCCATCTTCCTTTTCCCAGCACCTTCTCCTCACCCATAGGTCCCAGCTCAGCTGCCTTGGACAAAGCTCACCCGTGGTCTCCCTCACACCTTTTGCCCACAGACATACTTCAGGAATCCAGTTTCCGACACAAATCAGTGCCTTTCTCCCCAGTTTACCACTCGTTTCTGTGTTACTCACATCTGTTGTCCTTCATTTCTTTTATTAGTCTTCTGCCAGCTTTATTTCCACTCTGCTTCTGAGGCCACCCCTGGCTCTGGGTTCTAGATGGTTCCAGCCAGTTCCAGCCGGCTCCACCAGCCCCAGCCCTGTAATGGCACCTGAGGGGAGCGAGGGTGAGAAAGACAAAATGGCGCCCGAGCGTGAGGGGTGAGGGAAGGAAACGCGGTGAGAAACGGTCCTGAGAGACCAGAGGGGAGAAGAGGAAGAGCTCCAGGCTCAGGGCTGAGACTGGGGTGGGAGGGCAGCTTCACCTGACTGGCAGCAGGTGAATGGTTTGAGTTGGAAGGGACCTTAAAGCTCCTCCAGCTCCAACCCCTGCCACAGGCATGGACACCTTCCACTAGAGCAGCTTGCTCCAAGCCTCTGTGTCCAACCTGGCCTTGAACACTGCCAGGGATGGGGCAGCCACAGCTTCTCTGGGCACCCTGTGCCAGCGCCTCAGCACCCTCACAGGGAAGAGCTTCTGCCTTATATCCAACCTGAATTTCCCCTGTTTCAGCTTGAACCCCTCACCCCTTATCCTATCACTCCAGTCCCTGATGAAGAGTCCCTCTCCAGCATCCTTGTCGCCCCCTTCAGACACTGGAAGCTGCTATGAGGTCTCCACGCAGCTTCTCTTCTCCAGACTGAACAGCCTCAACTTTCTCAGTCTATCTTCATACAGGAGGTGCTCCAGCCCCTGATCATCCTCATGGCCTCCTCTGGACTTGCTCCAACAGCTCCATGTCTTCCTTATGTTGGGAAAATAACGGGCAGAGACCCTGCAGTGCCAGCCCAGCATAGCACACATTGAAAAAGAAGGACATTCAAGCTAGTATATTTAAGAAAAGAAGGGGGAAAGAAGGGGTGGAGGGGAGTATGAAAGCACTGCACAGGTTTGGTAGCTACCCCAGGGCTCTTTGAGACTCCCGTCAAACAAAACCCCCTCTTGAACACCTTGACAACTAGCGCGTTACACCGACAACTCTGAACTTCTGATGAAAAACACGCATGCACGCAGATATATATGTCACCCCAAGGAGGATGAAAATATACTGGTACTATGTATTCTTGTGCACCGGTTCTTGCGAGCATGAGCCACAACAACAGAGACTTTCTTGTATACCCACACGCACACTGGTAAGTTCAGCAGGAACTTTTGCTCTTATTCCAAACACTTTTCCCTATAAATCACACAAAAATCAGCAACCCTTTCCTACATTATTGAGGATCTTTATTAGCACACTTCAGATATTCCCCTGACAAACCACAGTACACGATATACTTTCAGTATTTAAACCTTCATCCCAATCTGGGTTGCAAACAAGGTATTTCTATGTTAGAATCTCTCCATTTCCACGCTGCGATAACCTTGCTTGCGTGCCTGTGTTACACACTGGAGATATCTTTCATTTCTCCTCAATGGGAAGAGAATGGCTCAACTGCAGATCACAGATCTTAAACAACCGGAGTCAAGTTGCAAAAGCCTGTGTTAGCAGGTCAACAGTTTGAACTCCTTTCTCTACACATCTTCACTTGCCATCAGGTCAACACAAATATTTAAGGGCTGAGTACAGCTGTGAACAAAGCAAGCCAGTGCTGGTGAAGGGGCACAAATCCTTCCCCCTCACACAATGTGTCTCACATGTACCACAGCGAAGTTCCTGAATGCTGAGGCTACTGCCCCTCTACTCAGGCAAAATCCACCCGATGGTGGATCACAGAATCATAGGATCCAGCCCACGGGTCCGACAACCCCCGTGTGTTTTATTTGCTGGCAATGTTGGATGCTGTCAAAATCCCTCTGCAAGGCTGATTCCAACCCTCCACATTTCTCATGATACTTCTCAGCAGGTTGAGTTTTATTCCCACCAAATCTTGTTCCCCGAGGCCGGATGCTTCCAAAATATTGTTTTCTATCACCTTCTGGCAGAATATTTTTCTCCATTATGAAAAGGATTACATATATTCCTTCAAGTAGCAAGCATTTAGAATAGCTCTGCCCAAGTATTGTCAATCACCATGTGAAATAAAGGGAATCTGGAATTCCCTCAGCAGTGGCAGAGCTCCAAATGCCATAGTATTCATAACTTTCTATACATTATTCTGGGCATCGAGCTACAGAAATCCGGGGTCTACAGACTAGTCAGATATAGAAAGACCAGCTAAGCGCTGGCACAGAGACCTGTGATTTTGCCCTTAACACACGCTTTGAGAGAAGCTTTATCCAATATGCTCCCAGCCTGGATCCAACTGCTTGTCTTAACTCAGCAGCACACTGTAAGGACTACACAACAGTATAACTTTGGGATTCCCAAGG